GCAAGGTACGCATGTCTATTCAGGCATAGATTCCATTTGGTTCAAACAGAATTTACTCCCACCTATACTCAGCAATACTCTGCTTATTAGAAACAATTTTATTTTATTTTCATATTTTATAGTAAAAGAAGGAAGACAGAATAGGGAACATTTACCATGTCATTTTTTAAAGAGGCATTTTAACTTCTAATAATTAACATTACAGATTGTGTGCCTCTTAAGAAAAATAATCAAATAACATTTGTGTTTGTGTGTGTGTGGCACACACAAACATTCCTTTGCTATAGTATAATTGTAGAAATAATGCAGAAATATATGGTTCTAAAAATCTCCAGTAATTACTGAAGTAATATTTAAATCAGAAAATATTAGTAGACAGAGTGCCTCAGTTTTGGGGAGAACAACAATTACATGCATGATAATCTGTTTATCTGGAATTGCAAAACATGTTTTAATTTGCACTGCACTGATACACATTTGTCATATGTGCTGATAATGAATTGTAGACAAATATTCCCATCTGTGCACAAGAAGCAGGTTTCAGGAGACTTGGAGAGAAACCCAAGGTTTGCAGGGGAAAAACCACAGACAATCTTTAGGAAAATACACCATAAACCCAAATAGCCCAACAAGGACTGAACATGCTCAGTGGCCATAGCTTTACTGATGCAAGGAATTAAATTACATACAGGGAGAATGGAATGGCTGGAAACCTGACCAAGAGCACTTCACCTTGCAGCATTTTGCTGCAAGACCACTTGTTAGTTCTAACATGAATACCAGTGTGTAGAACAATATATGATGTGTTCTCCTGGAGACTACTACTTCAGATTGCTAAGTGGGAATTATTGCAGGTTTGACTTCTTTCTCATCTACAGTACATATAAAACAGAAAAAAAATAATGGAAACTTTCACATCTGGGAAAAAAGGAGGCTCAAGTTATTTCCCATGCACATGCAGTACAACTATTTTTAAATGTTGAAGAGCACTATGAAGTAAGTCACACCCTACCTGAATTGGGACATGGCATGCTCCTGGGGAGAATGTACTACATGCTTTTGCTGGAAATTTGAATCAGCTTATCGTCTATGTACTAGAATTGGATGGGGCTATTTAGGCCATTGAGTCTCAACCCCCTGCTTATAGCAGGAATCTGCTTGAAAGCATCCTACCCTGACCTAAGACTTTCCATGCTTTGCATGAATGTCTCTAGTGACAGAGGTGATTGGCGAGATAATTTATTTAATAATTCCAAATTTGCAAATGCTCTCACTGCCTGCAGAGTGACACTCTTAGGCAGTATCCTATTTGGGAAACTAAGGGTGCAGCATGCATTACAAAACAAACAGCATTCCCAACCTCATGATTTCCTGCTAATCAATATATACAGTGGGGAGGGTGCATTTGCATGGGAGAATGGTAGGCAGGTAGGGAGGGGTGTATTTAACCTTTCTGTGCACCAGTTCTCCATTGCAAATTCCCTTCTGTAAGCTGTTCTTAACCATCTTGTTTCCATCTGGCCTCCACAACCAGAAATATACCTGACCAGGGCTGTGGGGAGAGTTCATCTTCCCGGTAGCCACACTACTGTTGGGAAACAGTTTGGAAACATGCAGTTCTCCAAGAGGATTTTCAAAAGATTGATTTCTTCTGAGCAATACATTTGTAATTATTATTTGAAACATGCCAGTATCTTTCAAGATAATTATTTGTCATGAAATATATTTTCTCAGAACTCAAACCAAAATATCTAGCTATCAGGAAAAAGTGCTTTTTCTGCCTGATAGCTTATCAGTTGAAAGAGAAACTGCAGAGTGTCATATGGTTGCATAAGGGCCCCTACTGGACAGAGTCTGTGACATGGAGTTTTATTTGTATTATAATTATTACAGAGTTTAAATCTTCTCCTCCTGTATGGCATTAACAGAGAATTGCTCACTGTATCCTATTTAGTTACTGAAGGCCTTTTCACCACTGAAGCAGTTTGATCTGATTATTTAGGAAGAACATTGAACAGCTATTCCCTAACAGCAAGGATACTTACCATCAAATGCAGAAAAGGGACTAGGGATTCAGTCTCTGCTGGATGGGCTTGCATACTCCATGAAGACTATTTGGGTGGATTCAGCCTTGAACCTGGATGTCCTGGTTTTGAAAGAGACTGGGAGTATATTTGAGCTGCAGTTAGTGTGCCTATTCCTAGAGATATCTGATTTGGCTGCAGTCATTCATTCCTTGAAAATTATTCAGAATGCTGCCGCCAGAGTATTGATTGGCGCCAGTTGCAAGGAGTATGCGACTCCCCTGCTACAACACTTTCACTGGGAACTAATCTGTTTCTTGGCACATTTCAGAGTGGTGGTGTGACCTGTAAAGCCTTGTACAAATTGGAATGAGGATACCTGAAAGACCACCTTCTCTCATGCAAGCCCACCTGGATCTTAAGATCTTTGGGAAGAAGCCTTTCGTTCAAAACTGCTGTCTTTGGCAATAGAAAAGACAGCTTTCTTGGTGGCCATTCTGAGGGGATGGGTTGCATCCCTCTCTGCTGTCCCTTCCACCGGCAGAGTATTTCTGTTGTGCTTTAAGCTATGTTTTAATGCATTTGTTTTATTATTGCTTTAATAAAATGTTCTTTATTATTGTAAGCTTTGAGTACCTTTTTTTGGTAAAAAAGTGAGGTACACATCAAATAAATAATCCAGTGGGTGAGGGCATAATATTGTACTTCTAGTTCAGGCCTACAACAAGAGCAATGCAAATAATAAAATCTGAAACTTTATTAAATGGAAAAGTTATAAAAAGTTTACTGCTATCTTAATGTTCATGCTCTTGCTATAGTGTTCATTATTATACAGGGGAGGCTGTGTCAGTGGGGCTCCTTCATGGATGGCAGTGTTCCCTTTCAGCATCACAGGAGCTATCCTTGATGCTGATCCTGCTCCCCAAAATAGTTCACTGACATAGAGCATCATGGCTAGCTTATATAACATTGAAAAGAAAAGCTGCCATGTATGAGGAGCTCAACTAACATAGGAGTCAGTAGCCTCCCCTGTGTACAGGAGGAATGTTGCTATGATAGAGGGGAAAGCTGCTCCTTATGCAATTGAGAACAAGGACCAATAGACCTTTTTGCAGAGAAATAATGCCCTGGCTGTGATCCTGACACATTTATATGGGACAAAGTTCTATTCTATAAACACAATTTCTTACATATAGTGTACTTTGGGTTGGTGTATCAAAGGATTAATAAGAATTAATTAGAATTCAAAAAGCAGAGAATGACAACATAAAAAACTGAATTACTGACAGAACTAAATGAGAAATAACAAAACAAGAAAAATACAGTTTGGAGATAATGAAATAAAAGTCACTTTTAAACATAAATGTCATAAAGGTGCAGAAGTGGAGATGTAAAAAAGCTGAGGTAAATGAACAATGACATTTTAAAAATGTTGCTGTGTGGTTTATTAGTATTAATGGCTATTCTGCATAATATTGGAAAGCTATGCAAGATCTTCCCTGGGTATATCGTTAGCAGCAGGCTTATAAGCTTCAGAAGCAGGACTACTGCTAACTTGCTGAGGACTTTCCCTTTAGACTGTGAGACATTTTAGCTTCAAAAACCCAGCTTTGATAACAGCACCTGTTTTAGCTGATGAGCATACTGTTCTGAGGCATCCATACTATACAGAAGCTGAAGCTTTCAAGCAAAAAAGCAGGCTCTTATAAACTACTGCACTTTGCTAAGTGATATAAGTCAGAAACAGCAGCATAAGGGAGAAAAATAAGCTTCCCAGTAGTAGGATATGGTGGGTGGGACTCAGAGGAATAATGCGTATACATATAATATCCTCCTTTCTGAATAGCAAATAATAAAAGTCACTTTGAATGCAATTCTATTCTCAAAACTCACTAGCTGAGTAACTATAGAATTTGCTGGCATAATTGCAGTGTATCCCTGGACCCAGTTTAAGTGAAGTAAATGATTAATTACTTCTCAATGAACTTTTCTTGGATTAAAAAATGGTAAGGATTATCCTAGAGTTTTCTGGAACCATTCTGGGTATGATGAATGAATTAACAGGCTACCAGCAGCAGCAGCTGCACCATCCCCACCCCACATCTGAGGCTGTGAGATACCAAGGGAAGGGTGAAATAGTTGGGGAGCAATGAGAAAGAATCAAACTGCTTCCTACAAAGATTTTTTTTTCAGTCATGTGAGTCAGTTGAGATCTCTCATGTGTTGTAATAGCATAGCAGTTTTACACAGACTGTTTTCTGAATTGGGTGTGCATAGGCATAACACAGGAAGGAGCATCGTGTACATCTATGTGCACTTTGAGAACCATGGACCTTTCTATTTTATGTCATATAGATGTGGTAAAATAGACAGTTTGTTGATCCTCACATCTGATGGTATATATGGGGTTTCTTTATAAAACCAAATAAGGTCATGGACATGGTGGAGAAACTGTCCTTTGTGAGATAGTTTCATAGAAGTAACCTCTGGAAACTAAGAAGTTGGCTTCAAGTGAAAACCTGTCCTATCCTTCAATCAAAGAGTACAGAGAGCAACTCTACAATGAGGCTGCCTGCAAACCTCTAGTGCAGAGAGGGAGAAGGGTGGAGGTGATTGTTGCCTTTGTCACCCTCCTGTTCTCCAAATCAGCTGGATGGCTTCTTTTGGCTGTCTAGCTACAGCCTTTCAGATAGAGCAGGGAGAAAGAGATGGGGCACCACCTGATATCTTGATTCCTGGCATGCCCTGTCTGCACTTCAGCCCCTGGAACACCCCCTTTGCTCCTTCCCAAGGCCATCTTATAACTTGCAGGGAGGGGGATTGCAAGTGTGGATTCCCAGTGGTAAGGTTGGTGATTTTCCTGACCTTGGATTGGGAATCAGAATGATCCTATAGCCCTCTAGGCACTGTCTGTTAACAGCACAATCCTATAGATGTCTACTCAGAAGTAAGTCCCATTGAGGATTGCAAGCTTGATTCAGTCAAGAGCTTCCACATTTGCTTTATTAAAATTTATCAGTGAAATCCACCACCAAGGGAAACAGTCATGGGCAAATAAGATACCTGGGCCAGGTAGAGCTTAATTCTAAATGGGAGCCTCAGCTCTATGATTTTGCAATGTCTGAGGCATGTGAAGCAACAGTAAATGCGAGTGCCTTTAAATGAAAGAAAGCACCCTCTCCTGCTCCCCTTTCTCAAGGAAACCTAGTGCCCTGCAACTAATTTCATTACAATTTTACTCAGGAAGAAAGAAAGATATGACAAGAAATAAATTATGCATGATATATATTTCTAATGGAGCAAACAGAACTTAATGACTACACTGATAAACCTATAATTAAGATAATAACTATGCACTAGCAAACTATTGCTTTTATGGCTTACTGCCCATGGAACTGCACAAGCTTCAAGTCTTTTCCTGGCACAAAAGGGTAGTTAGTTTTACAATTCTTAGGATGGACTATTCATTACATGGGACTGTCATCTAAATCTTGTGGTCTTTTGGATGTATACATAGGAAAGTTACCACATTAGGTATTAACACAGAGTTAAATTGCACAGAAATCCAGGATTGAGGATCCATGCAGATAGGCTCACAAAGTATCCAAACAAGAGGTATGGGTGAGGTCAGTTATTGCTGTTTTTGTAAAAAAAATATATACACATAAGAATCCTGGATCACAGATGGATAATTTTAGAGAGAAAAAGAACACATACTATTCCACAGAAAAACATCTAGAAACTGTCCTAATTCTTAGCTGATGAGCCAGTTGGATATTTTCAACAGCCTTCCTAATGGCTTGTAAAGTTAGCCTGAAAGGACAGTTGTTCAGAATTGACCCATATCCACAAAGCCACCTGTACTGTGAAATGCCCAGGTTTTGGATGGAGGGTGGAAATATGTGTTACAGGTGAAGAACACTATTCTGGAGTGCTGTATGTCACCAAGTACATAAGCAGGGGTCTTGGTGATTTAGATGATTCCAAACTGTGCCAATTCGTGAAGCTCCAAATGGCTGAAAGCTTCCCAAGGGCAGATCACTGTAATATCTGAGAGAGAAAGGGAGAGAAGATGGAGTGGGAGAGTATTACATCAACATAAATGAAGTTGGACAAGCTCATTAAAGAAAGATTTTTATTTATAGTGACCCCTAGGCAGGAAGGAGCAATGCTTCTCTGTCCATTAAACTTTTTAGGGCTTTAAAGCATACACCAACGTTGTGGCATCTCACACAAGGAAGGAATAATGTAAAGTGCTCAGGAGGAATTTATTAACAGAAAATGTATCTTTCCCCTGGCCTCAAATTAGGGAAGATGGATGGATCAGAGTTTATGAATATGTTCCATCTTGTTTCTGTATTAAGGTGTGATTTTTTTAATCCAGACAGATATTTAAATATATGTCTCAATACATTTTTGTAACATACTTTCTCTCAAAATATTGATTTATATTAGTATGCAATCCTGAACATATATCTACCTTTATATTTTTATAACAAGAATTATTCTGCAAAATCCCAAGGACAGCCATGTTCTGATCTGCACGTTAGCCTGGAAGGTGTGAATCAGGTAGATTTGCCCTGAAATGCTCATGGATACCTACTTCAAATGGCATATTTCCTCAGGCTCATGTGTGGCTGCCATCTAGCAATCTTATTCCCTGTGAAAGCTCCCAGAATAGCAGGCAGACCAGCAGAATTTAGAAATGCACTGAAAGTGCTTTAAAACCCTTTCTTTATCTTTGTGCAAATATGCCATCAGGGACACTTCAGCAGATTAGACCAGGCCAGTCTCCATTTAATACTTCCTGCTAAGTGAAACTCACACACACATGGTCTTCAGAATAGCTATTTTATTCCCCTGATGTTTCACAGTTATGTGTCTAATTTGTTTATGAAACATAATCTTGACATGGAATACTGTTATAGATTTTTTTAAATGGGAATTTTGGGCTGACAATTTATCTTCACTAGGTTTGCTAATGACCTGCACTCAGCCTTTTTGCTTTGTTTTTACATAAAGTTATTAACAACTTCAGACTTAATTCAAAGCAATCTAAATTCTGCATTACACTTGGTAAGCTACCAGTCTGTATGTAAACTGTGTATATGGACAGAGAGGATAGTGTAATGCATTTTGAATTCATGGAATTTGTCAAAGTTTCTTGTAACGACAAGTAACACAGGTGAATTTAAAGATGGATTTTTAAAAAGGTACCATAGAGCTATTAGTCTAGCAATTAAACTTCATTTTTCAGAAATAATTGCTTTTGATTACCAGAAAAGTGGAGAAAGCAACAGAAAAAAGCTGTTTCCATTATGCTAGCTTCCATGTAGTCTTTTCAGAAGCATCTGGCTAGCCATTACTAAAAGCAGAATGCTAGGCTATATGCTATGAAGTGGGCTAGATTAGTCTGCTCTGACAAGGCCCTTCTTACATTCCTTAAAGAGGTACAGAGCAGGAAAATAATTTCCCCCTGCCTAGGCTGTATTCATTTATTATCCATATTAAGCCAAGCAACAACACTATTCTCTGCATTAATTTTATCAAGAGAAATAAAGTAGACATAATTTACCTGTTCCGAGACCTTCCATTCCAGGGATATCATCTCCAAAACTATGAAAAAGCATCAGAATAAAGGTAAGGTACAATCAAGACAAAGAAAGGTAGTCTTCATGTATCAATATATTTTTTGTAGCCCAAGGGCAGCATGAAAGCAGCTTCCGCAAATTGTTTGTGTGACATTTTTTCTAATTGTAGGATCAAGCTGTACCACCTGAAAACTCCATTTATTCACATGTTTTGTTTATTTATTTATTTATTTATTTAGGAAGCATCTATGCCGCCCCATTCGCCGAAGCCTCGGGGCGGCTCACAACAATAAATAAAAAATCATAATATAAAAACAATATAATTTGAGACGACCTGGCCAGAGATATAAAATAAATAATATTAACAATTAAAATGACGTTTAAATAAAAAGGTCTTTGCCTGGTGCCAAAAAACAAATAACAACGGTGCCAGGCGGACCTCTCTGGGTCCATTTAGCACTGGAGGAATGGGCATGACTTTCTCCCAACTTTCTCCAGTTTTACTGGAGAGCAG